GTGGGGACAGTGCGGGCCCGTGGGGACAGTGCGGGCCCGTGGGGACAGTGCGGGCCCGCTGAGGAGCCAGGAGCAGCAGCCCCGCCCCCCTGTCTCCAGCCCTCCCAGCCACGCTCCCCTCGCTGTCTTACAGGTTTGCAGAGGTTTCTCATCACTATTAATTGGTGCTTTTCTGGTTAGTTTTGGCTTCACCCAGACCCATGAAGTCCTGGTACGTGTTGTCCCTCGGCTCCTAAAAGCAGGGAAGTGGAAGGGCCATTTCCTCCGGATAATGCTGTGGAGGTGTGTCCAGGCTGTGTAGGTGTGTCCAGGCTGTGGAGGTGTATCCAGGCTGTGGAGGTGTATCCAGGCTGTGGAGGTGTGTCCAGGCTGTGGAGGTGTGCTCAGGCTGTGGAGGTGTGCTCAGGCTGTGGAGGTGTGTCCAGGCTGTGGAGGTGTGCTCAGGCTGTGGAGGTGTGCTCAGGCTTTGGAGGTGTGCCCAGGCTGTGGAAGTGTCCCAAGCCATCAGCCCAGGACAGGCAGTATGCTCTGCTCAGGCTAGGGTTGGCAGCTCTGCCCCATCACTGAGCCTGGGCGCATGAGCAGCCCCACAGCCTGGCATGGTGTGGCCCCCCGTCCCTCCGCATCCGCAGTCCGGGGCGAGTAGTCGGCCCCCAGTGAGCCAAGGTGGAGCCTCCCCTGCCCCTGCAGGGGACACGAGACACTCTGAGCGGACTTGGGACTGGCCAAGGCCCACCGCCATGAGCCACAGCAGGTCTCCATGCATCCTGTCTCCTGTCAGCACTAGGGCTGGAACTCAGGGCCTGGGCGCTGCCTCTGAGCCTTTGTGCTCAAGCCCAGTGCTCTACACTTTTTGTGTGGTTAGTGGAATCTCCTGGACTTTCCTGGCTGGCACGATCCTCAGATTTCAGCCTCCTGAGTAGCTAGGATGACAGACAGGATCCACCGGAGCCCCGCAAGGCTCCGTTCTTGCTAACTTCTCCGGCCTGTGCCATTGTGTTATTTTCAACAGAGAAGAAGTCAGGCATTCCTGCCCTCTCCATTCCTGACTCAGTGCGCTGGTGTCCTGGGCGGGCACTGAGCCTCCCCGGGAGCCGCAGCCAGCGGGGTGCGGGCCTCACCACACGCACTGGCCCCACAGGGACGCGCAGAAGCCCAAAGCCCTCAGGCAGGAAGCCCACAAGGGCTGGGACAGACAGACACGGAGAGCTGGGTCAGGCAGGAGACACTTCCCGGAAGTGCTCCTCTGTGCACTTGCTGGCAGGTTTGCCCAGTGTCTGGGAGCTCCTTGTTCCAGAAGTTTCCTTGAGGGGTGTCCCACACCAGGCAGTGCCCCCTTCAGTTCTGATAGTACACACAGTGTTGATTTCCCTGGCATAGCCTCCATGCCCGGCGCCTGGAGGCTCAAAACATGCCACAGGTTTGTTCTTTACTGAAACACTTAAGCCAACAGGAAATGTGCAGTCTGACAACTTTTCTTACAGAGAAGGGGAGCAGGGGCCCAGGACAGACCTGGACTGTGTTGGGGCCTGCAGAGCAGGGAGGGAGGAGCTGGCAGGCAGATGGGCCCTGGGTCTGGAAGGGGCGGAGCCCAGGGCGGAGGCTGGGCCAGTGCTTCAGGCGGGTCATATGATGGCCTGGTGGGGCAGCCCATACAGGACCAGGCTGAGGGCCATGGGGTGCGGCTCTGTGTCTGGAGACTCCACCCGGGGGGTCGCCACCTCCTCCACGGTGGTGTACGGAGTCTCGTCTGTGGAGTGTGAGCAGAGCTGTCAGGCGGGGGGCGGTCTGGCACCTATCCAGACCCGCACCGCACCCCCTGTGGCCGGGACAGGGAGGATGGGGTGAGAGGCGGCGTCCCCAGCTCTTCCGTGAGCCAGACCTGAGCTGGGGCTGGTGCAGGAATCGGCCTGTGCCCAGCAGTGCTGCCCTGCTTCTCACGGCGCTGCTTCTGCCTGCAGCAGCGGAGCTCTACAGCCCTGGCTGAACCTAAGTCCCCTTTACCCCCCACCCACGTGGGGCGTTGGTAGGATCCAGAGACCCGCCTCAGGGCCACCTCTGTGTTGCTAGCAGTGCCCTTCCCTGGCAAAGCCATCACAAGGATGAAGTAACTGGTTCCCTCCCGAGTGTGTGCCGACGTGTGGGGTCCACAAACTGCGCAGACTCCAGGAGCCAACAGGCCAGCACCAGCCGGCGTGGCCCTGCGTCTGCCCTGCCTGCTCTCAAGCGGGTGGTCTGCATGGCACACGGGATGCCGGGTCCCGCTCCGTGTCCGTCGGGACGTCCATCTTTCCAGTGCCTCGTGTGGGCGCCAAGGCAGGGGACACGCGGCAGTAGCACACTGTTAAGTGCTGTTGCCAAGGCTCAGGATAGGCTTTTTGAAAGCATCCCTTTTTAATACATTTTTTCTTTAAAAAAGCAAAGATGTTGGAAGCCAGGGCAATCTGACTTCTGAACTGACCGTTGGTCATTTCCCTGGTGCCTGGCTTACCTTCAGTGAAGGAATGTCAGGCTGACCTCATGTCTGGCTTTGAGCTTTCTGTGGAGAGCTCAAAGAGGAGGCTACACACCAACCATAGCTGCTTGCTGCTGAAGCACACGTCTGGCTCTTGGAGGCCCGGTTCCAGCCCTGCCTTCAGAGGGCACCACAAACCACAGTGGTCTAAAGATGACCCTGCAGCCATTTTTACCCAGGGCTTCCCCACCAGCCCCGCCGAGGGCCTGTGGTTGACAAACACATCTTTCCTTTGCACAAAGGCAGTGTTCTGATTGGTAGAGCTCTGCAGCTCTACCTATGGAACCAGGCCATTCAGCCCACTTCGGGAGTTAGCTAAAAGACACCTCCTGAACTTCCTCCTGCTCTTTTGCAATGTTAGGGTTACTGAAAGACTTTTCTCAAGTGGTCTTTTCTTGCCTACTCTCTGTGTGCTGTTTGTATGTTCCAATACTGGGGTCTGAACTCAGAGGCTTGTGCTCTTGCTTGGCTGGAACTCTTGAGTCATACCTCCAGTCTGAAGTTTCTCAGAGTTTTCTGCCTATGCTGGCTTTGAGCCATGATCCTCAGATCTCAGCCTCCTGAGTAGCTGGGATTCCCATAATGCACTGGTGCCTGACTCTTCCTTTGATTGTCATGATGACTGAGCAGAGATGGCCGCAGCAGAGGGATAGCAGCTGCTCCCCCCGTGGTCGGAGCAGTAGGGGCAAGAGGGCTGCCCAAGAGCTCCCGAGCTCTGCGGTGGGGCAGGGATGGCAGGGAGGGCACAAGGGTGGGGGTGGCAGAGGCAGGGAGAAACAAGGCGGAAGAAGGACCAAAGGCCGTGGAGAGTCGAGATGAGAAACGGCTCTGGCTTCTGGAAGAGCCCGGGCGGCCCTTGAGGGCTGAGGGTCTGGACCCTCTAGCCGGGTCCTGACCGGAGTCTCTGTAGGGCTGACAACAGGAGGCCCCCCATGAGCTGCCTGAAAACCGAGGCTGACCGTAGCTGCCAAGGGCCAAGACAGAAAGCCTCCCGCCTCAATGCCTACAGCCAGAGCTCTCCGGCTTCTCAACCCTCCAGCTCCGAGGAGCAGCCCCCAGGCTGACCAGCTAACACTCCCCGCTCCCCTCCTGCGTGGCAGGTCAGAGGACTTCAATATGCTAGGCAGAAAACGTATGTTTTCAAAGGCTAGCTTACTAGGGAGTTGTATTATATTAGAAGATTTCTCACTTAAAAACCATTCTGGAGGACACCTTTCCAAGTTGTAGCAGATCACTCCTTTCATGGTCAGCTAAACGCTGTTGGCTAGTGTTGGGTCACGTTTTGCACAGTGATGTCTGCAGCTTGTCACTGCGACAAGTGTTGGGGACTTCAAAGTTGGGAAGTCAGACTGACGGCTACAACTTAACCAGGGCATGCCCCTGGCCCTGCCCAGGAAACTATTTCCCCAGGGGTCTCTCCTCTGACCGGGGTGACGGAACGCCAGGAGGGCCCAGCCGGCACCCTCCCAGTCCCCAGCTGCGGAGGACGGGGGATGTGAAGGCGTGGCCATGCCAGGTGCCAGGTCTGCAGCTCGGGCACAGGCTCCTCTACGGCCTCCTCAGCTGTACATAGCCAGCCCAGCTCTTTCCCCAGCTCATGTCTCTGAGGAGAGCGTGCCCCGGGAGGCTGACACAGAGGCTGTCTCTGCCCTACCTTCGGTCGCCATTTCAACGTATTTCATCTTCTGCAGGAGGTAGACGGTTCTGCCAACCGTCTTGCCAACCGTCAGCAGGTCTAGGAGAGGAGCGTCCCCTTAGACGGCCACCAGCCGGCCCGGGACCCGGCACCCCTCCGGTGGGTCAGCTGGGAACTCACTTTCCCACAGGATGTTGGCCCTCAGGGCGTTGTCCGCCAGCTGTGCTGCCCACTGGTTGGCCATGATGCTCTTGACTCCCACCAGGCTCAGAAGGATGGCGGTCTCAATGGGCTTATCCAAGGTCACACTGTCGGGGCCCCGCCCATGGGTTGGCACCAGGGGCAGGACGCCCCCTCCTCTTCCCCCCATCTCCCACGGCATGGCACCAGGGGCAGGTGGACGCCCCCTCCTCTTCCCCCCATCTCCCACGGCATGGCACCAGGGTGGACGCCCCCTCCTCTTCCCGCCATCTCCCACAGCATGGCACCAGGGTGGACGCTCCCTCCTCTTCCGGCCCATCTCCCAGACTGTACTGGTGGTAGGAATGTAGTTTTGGACTGATGCTTTACAGTTTTACAGTGATTTCAGCTACAGAATTAGGTGCCATTTAATAAGAAATGGCCTTTCTGTGTGCTTATAAAATCTATCTGGCAGCAGCACCAGCCCCTGGATGGAGTTGACCATGGATGCTGGCACTATGAGGTTCAAGGTCCCCCACCCACCTCTGGAAGCTCACATGGTCTCTGGGGTAGGGCGCTCCAGCCTGACAGTGGTGTGTGCCCCTGTGATCCCTGGCCAGGCTGCCCCTCCCCCAGCCCTGACCGTGGGGTGTGGTGGGGGGTGCCCCGTGTTCCCGGCCGCCCCTCCCCAGCCCCCTGCCGGCACAGCAGGGACCTGCAGCACCTCTTGCTTTCGGAGCTCTCCACCTTCCTCCGCCGGCTCTTGTGGGACGTTGTCTTGTCCAGCAAGACCATCAGCTGGCACTCTGCACAGAGAACCGCTGTTCAGCAGCTCCCAGAGCCCCTGGAGCGCTGTCCAAGCCCAGCACTCAGACTATCACCAACAGGGCCGAGAACTGGGGATACACGAGGCCAGGTGGCAGGACGCGGGAGAAGCCCACCGTGGGGCCAGAACTCAGTGTGCAGCTGGGGGGGGCCTCCAAGCATGCAGGGGAGCAGCTGAAGTGACCGCCACCCCAACACCTCACCCTGACTGCAAGCAAGGGACGCTGGAACTGAGGCCTCTGGAAAATGGAGGGAGCTGGAGACCGCGGGGCCAGCGGGGGAGGGGGCCTCGGGCCCAGGGTGCCTTCTAGAGCGTCCCCCTGTGCCCTCCGGGCCCGATGGGGGCGGGTGGTGGGGCCTCACCTTGCAGATTCATGGCCACCAGTCTCTCCACCAGTATGTGGGCCAGGAAGCTCTCCATGCCGTAGAAGAAGAAGCCGCAGCAGCTGGACAGGACCTGCTCCCAGTCGGCCTGGCTGCATGGGAGAGCAGCAGGCGCTCTGCGGCCAGGCCCCCAGGCCGTGGGGGCCCTCACAGCGCATGCTCAGCGCAGGCGTCTCCGGACCCCTGCGCCCGCCCCGTGCCCCCAGAAGCCCTCAACAACAGAGCCCCGTCAGGAACCTCAGAAGCTGGCACCGGCTTCCCTGACAGCCAAGCCGACAAGGGCCCCGAGATTTCCACAGCACCCCAACAGCAGGGGGGCGGGCAGGGGTCCCTCCCGGCACCCTGCCCCGCACAGGCTCCCCCTGCACACGCATACACACCCTGCACGCTCACCACACACACACCTTGCACACACACACCCTGCACACACAGGTTCCCCCTGCACACGCACACACACCCTGCACGCTCACCACACACACACCCTGCACACATATACACACCCTGCCCTGCACAGGCTCCCCCTGCACACGCACACAACCCCGCACACTCACCACACACACACCCTGCACACACACACCCTGCACACACAGGTTCCCCCTGCACACGCACACACACCCTGCAAGCTCACCACACACACACCCTGCCCCCACAGGTTCCCCCTGCCCCCCAGGCTCCCCCTACACACGCACACACACCCTGCACGCTCACCACACACACCCTGCACACACACACCCTGCACACAAGGCTCCCCCTGCACACACACACACACACACACCCCGCCCCCCACAGGCTCCCCCTGCACACGCACACACATACACCCTGCATGCTCACCACACACACACCCTGAACACACACACCCTGCCCCCCACAGACTCCCCCTGCACACGCACACACACACACACACACCCTGCCTACACACACACCCTGCCCCCACACACACCCTGCACACACACACCCTGCACACACACACCCTGCACACACACACACACACACCCTGCCCCACAAGGCTCCCCCTGTACATGCATGCACACACACCCACACCCTGCACACACACACACCCTGAATGCTTACCACATACACACCCTGCGCACACACAAACCCTGCCCCCCACAGGCTCCCCCTGTACACGCACACACCCCCCACATGCTCACCACACACACACCCTGCACACACACACCCTGCCCTGCACAGGCTCCCCCTGTACACGCACACCCCCCCGCACGCTCACCACACACACACCCTGCACACACAGGCTCCCCCTGCACATGCACACACACCCTACATGCTCACCACACACACACCCTGCCCCCACAGGTTCCCCCTGCCCCCCAGGCTCCCCCTGCACACGCACACACACACACCCTGCCCCCACAGGCTCCCCCTGCACACACACACACACACACACCCTGCCCCCACAGGCTCCCCCTGCACACACACACACACACACACCCTGCCCCCACAGGCTCCCCCTGCACACGCACACACACACACACACACCCTGCCCTGCAAGGCTCCCCCTACACATACACCCTGTATGTACCACACATACACACACACCCTGCACGGACAACACACACATACCCTGCACACACACCACACACACACTCAGCACACACACCACACACACACACCCTGCTGTGTGCAGGCTCCTGCACACATATACCCTGCACACACCACACACACCCTGCACACACTAACACACATACCCTGCATGCCCACCATACACACCCCCTGCATGCACACCACACACCCCCTGCATGCACACCACACACCCCCTGCATGCATGCCACACACACCCTGCATGCACACCACACACACCCTGCATGCACACCACACACACCCTGCATGCACACCACACACCCCCTGCATGCACACCATACACACCCCCTGCATGCATGCCACACACCCCCTGCATGCACACCACACACACCCCCTGCATGCACACCACACACACCCCCTGCATGCACACCACACACCCCCTGCATGCACGCCAAACATACCTTCTGCATGCACGCCAAACATACCCCCTGCATGCCCAGTACACACACCCCCTGCATGCCCAGCACACACACACCCTGCCCTGCGCAGGCTCCCCCTGCACACACATACCCTGCACACATACCACACACACCCTGCACACACAAGACACACACACACACACATCTAGTATGGCCACTTCATGTGCATCCATGCCATGGGACAGGCCTGTGACAGGGAGCTGCCCTGGGCCTGGGGTTCCCCTCCCTGAGCAGCCTGCTGGGCCTGGGGGGATTGGCATCGCCCCTCTGCTGGGGTCCGTCTGCCCCTCCCCAAGGAAGGCTGGGGGCCTCCGCAGCGGGAAACCCAAATCCAAACCTTGGAAAGTTCTGGTTGCCCAGGTGCCCCTCCCACTGATCAGTAAACGAATCTTGAAATCTTTCCAAAATTTCCTGGGTCACAAAAGTAGGGTCCAGGGCTTCTGCAAAGAGAATTGTCACCAGGTGTGACGTGCAGGGGTTTCTGGGGGTGCAGCGGGGCGCAAGGCCACGGAGGACACCGGATCACCCACCTTTGCCCTGGGCTTCCCCGTAGGGGTCAATGACAACTGGACTGGGGTCAAGGACAAACAGGCCCACAGGGTGGGGGTCTGGCGGGCCCCTCCCCCGCCAGGGGCCTGGCGGGGGTGGGCGGGGGCCAGACAGGGGACCTGGCTTGGGCCGGTGAGGGGGCCTGCAGATCCCCCTTCCCGCCCCCCCCAGCAGAGGCCTGGCAGGGGCCGGGTGGGGGGAACCTGCCCTCCCCCCCCACACCTGGCAGGGGCCGGGTGGGGGGCCTGGCTTGGGCCCGGTGGGGGAACCTGCCCTCCCCCCCACACACAGGGGCCTGGCAGGGGCCGGGTGGGGGGCCTGGCAGGGGCCGGGTGGGGGGAACCTGCCCTCCCCCCCCACAGGGACTTGGCAGGGGCCGGGTGGGGGGCCTGGCAGGGGCCGGGTGGGGAGAACCTGCCCTCCCCCCCCCCGCAGGGGCTTGGCAGGGGCCGGGTGGGGGGAACCTGCCCTCCCCCCCCACAGGGGCCTGGCAGGTAGGGGAACCTGCCCTCTCCCCCCGCAGGGGCCTGGCAGGGGCCGGGTGGGGGGAACCTGCCCTCCCCCCTGCAGGGGCCTGGCAGGGGCCGGGTGGGGGGAACCTCCCCTCCCCCCCGCCCGCAGGGGCTTGGCAGGGGCCGGGTGAGGGGCTGGGTGGTCCATGGCTGTCGAAGGATACACTTGAAGCCGTCTGAGGGGATGAGGATACAGTTTGGAGGGATTATCCGGGGCGAGCCCTGAAAGGGACAGGGGTTGGAGGGCACAGGGGTCAGAGGGCACAGGATGGGTTCCCAGACCAGTCAGGGCCGTGGGAGTCCGAGGCTCGGCAGGGGCAGCCGGTTCCAGGCCCTGAGCCCCAGCCGCCCGCCCTGCCGCCTACCTTTGCCCTCTTCCCTTTCTTCTTCGCGTCTCTCCTTTTCCCCTCCCTTTTCACGCTGCTTTCTGTTGCAGACAGACAAAGCAGCTATGAGCTGGCGCTAGGCACTGAGGACCGCTGAATTGTTTACCTTAAGATTTAAAACCTAAGAACAATCGATTATAATTTCTATAAAGGCAGAGCACAGAGAATTTCCCAAACGAAAGGTTGGCAAGAGCCTCAGGAGAGGCCCTGGGCAGGGGCTGGTGCGTGCCTGCGTGTGTGCGTGCGCACCTGACGTCCTGCGGGGCACCGTGCGGTAGGCCCCCTGGGCCAGGGAACCCAAACGCGCTGCCCCTTGGCTGCCCCGGGGTTGTGCAGCTGCGTGACAGCCCTCTCCCGCTCGGTACCCGTTACTCCTCTCCATCTGCCTGGCTGGGCCTCTGCAGAGTCTGGGGCACCCGGCCCCCCGACAGCCCCGGCCCGGCCCGTGCTGTGTCTCCGCAGACACTGCCTCCTTGCTTTCTGGTTAGAAACTGGCTGCCCTGTTCTCTTCTTGTCTGCACGGGTCTGGGCCGCGCGGTGTGGGCAGCAGTGCCCCCTGCCCCGCCCCACCAAGGCAGCCGCGGCCACCCATCTGTGCAGGCCTCCCGCCCACACATCCCGTGTCTCAGCTAGAAGCCATGGCGGCCGGAGGGTGCGCTTTCTATCTTTATCGCATCATGGACAGGATCCTGGCCGGGCGACCTCTGTGTGCTCTGACCTGCCATGATTGCATGCTGTAAACTCAGTTCTGCCGTAATGATGATAACAAGAGCCACAGCAGTTGCTACTGTTTTCTTTTCCTCTGTTTTTGCTCAACAATGTCTTACAGGGGTGGGAATCGTGGCTCAGGGGGTAGAGTGCCAGCCAATGAGTGAAACTTTGAGTCTTGGTCTCTGACAAAAAGAAGTCTCAAAGAGATGTCCCCGAGGTTTTCAGACGTGTTTCACATTGTGCCCCTCCCCCGCCCCATCTCTCCCTGCCGTGGTTCTGTCCGTGGTTCTGTCCGCACACCTGCCGGGCCCTGGCTCTGTCTTTTCCTGTCTCTCCTGCCAACGCTGTAGCCGGTGCTCTGATCCCTGAGCCAGACCTCAAAAACTTAGAGCAAGAGAAAACAATAGCCACAATTGTGTCTGTTGTTGTTGCTATTATTGTTGTTGTTATTATTATTATTATGGCAGTATTGGGACTGAACTCAGGGCCTTGAGCTTGTTTTCAGACAGGGTCTCATACTTTTTCCCTGGCCAGCCGTGGAACTCAAACCTATTCACGCCACGTCCTGTGTAGCGGAGATGGCAGATGTTCACCTCCACAGCTGGCGTGATGCAAGTCCACAGACTCCTGGCTGAGCCTGGCTGGCGCCACGCCTTACCTGTCTCCTCCTTACGGAGGCGGTTGCACAGCATCTGGAGGGAAAATTCTCGGGACAGAGACTGGGTTGTGCCCTGGTTGAACACAGAGAGGCCTTCCAGGGGCAGCTCCAGCAGGTGCCTGTCTGCGATCAGGATCGTGTCCACCGTCTCCATCTGACCTGTGAGCACGGAAATGACATTAACCGCGGGGAGGCCTGCTCCTGATGGCGGGCCACCCCTCCCCGACCGTGCGACTGCCCCGATGGGGCAGACCTCAGCCCGGCGTGCGTGCGGGGCCCCGAGGTGTGCCCTGGCTCTGACGGGAGGTTGGGCTGCTCCCCTGTGGACCAAGGCCAGCCTGACTGCAGATGCTGACTGCTGGCTGATGGGAAGAGCCTGGTCCTGGGGTCACAGCTCACGCTCCGAGTCACACCACAGGGGCTCTCCCTGCACGCTCCTCATGCACAGAGCAACACACATTTGCTTAAAGCCAAGCAGCATCTTTCTTATCTGAATTGTGGCCATTTTTGGGACGGGAGCCCAGTTTAGTTTGGGTCCTTGGGAGAGACTGGGTCTGGCAGCAGAGTGAGATGTGGGACCCGCCTTCCTGACTGCGTAGGACCCGAACCCCTCATGTGGTCTGCCCGCTGTGGCTGGAGCCCCGAGGACCTGTCTCCCGGCACGGGGCAGCTGGGCTTGTGGGGGAGGCGCTTGGCACTCTGGGAAATCAAAGTTCTTTTCTGGTTGAGTGACAACCCCCTTGGTTCTGTCTTGACAAGTTCTTGTGGGAGATACAAAGGCATCTAAGAATTAAAGAATGATATTGCCCTTTATAAAAGCAGCAGATGCCAGGGAAGGAAAATGAAGCTGGTAGTTGCTTAACCCCCGGGGTCAGCCTGGCGTTTCCCGGGGCGTTGTGTCAGGGGCACAGGGGTGCGCTTGGAAGCCAGCAGAAGGGGAGGACAGGGCCCTGCGCGGTGCTGCGGGCCTGGAGGCCATCCCCAGGATGACAGTTCGTCCTTTCCAGAAGCATCACAGCCTCCTCTGTCACGGGACGCCCTTCCTGGGCAGGGGTCAGCCCAGCTCTTCTCCCGGGCAGGCCCCACGGGGGTGGGCACTGACCACCGGCCCTGGCGGGCACGCCCAGCACACACTCCTCTGTTCACGTCTCCAGCTGGCTAGGAACGTGGCCACTCAGCCTTCCTCAGTGGGCCGGGCCTGGGGCCCAGTCCGTCTCTTCCCGTGATGCACGCTTCCGTGGTCTGCGCTGCGGCCACCTACCTGTTGGATTGGACCCTTTCCTTTCCTTCTCTTTGCCCTTTGACTTCCCTGGCTCAGTCACGATCACAGGAATTGGAATCCTGAAAGACAAAGCTGGGGTCTAGTGCCCAGGTGCACTGGAGCTAGGTCTCCGGCGGGCTGTGCGCCTTTCTGACTGCTGTAACTGGGACGGGCTAAGGACACCCTGGGCGCGGGGAGTGAGCCAGAGGTGCCACAGAGCAGGAACAGCCCCAGGTGGAGAGCAGCACTGATCACACCGCCCCGTGGAGAGCAGCACTGATCACACCGCCCCGTGGAGAGCAGCACTGATCACACCGCCCCAGGTGGAGAGCAGCACTGATCACACCGCCCCAGGTGGAGAACAGCACTGATCACACCGCCCCGTGGAGAGCAGCACTGATCACACCGCCCCAGGTGGAGAGCAGCACTGATCACACCGCCCCACCACTGTCTTGGCACTTGGAGCTCCATCTGGGAGGCCTGATCCCCAAAGAACACTTTCACCCCTCTGCTCAGCACCCCAGCGTGTGGTCCCACCACAGCTGCAGAACTGAGCCCACGGTACCTGACTTCTGGAAAGTTCAGCAGGGGAAAGATGGGCCGCAAGTAATCTTCCATGGGCTCCAGGACCCCGCTGAGCTTCTGCAGACAGAGTTCTCTCTCTTCAGCAGGCAGGCTCTCCAGATCCTGTCCCAACAAACCGCAGCCTGTCCCCAATGTGTGGGGCCCCACACAGCCCCTCCAGCTGCGTGAGCAGGGGGCGGGGAGGACTGAGCTCCTGCCCTCTGGGGAGCACGGCAGACACCGATGTCTCCACACACCTGTGCTGCAGCCCAGGACTCCCAGCCCATGTGCTCGAGGCCACCCTGAGACCCTCTGCAGGCTGCCTGTGTGCTGTGGACAGAGGCTGCCAGGGCCCCTCCACACAGTCAGACTCAGCAGGAAGCACTGCCCACACTGGGGCCTGGCACCACCCCAGGGCCCTGGCTCTCCCAGGGTGTCATACTGGGGCCTGGCCCTGCCCTGGGCCCTGGCTCTCCCAGGGTGCTCACACTGGGGCCTGGCCCTGCCCCAGGGCCCTGGCTCTCCCAGGGTGCCCACACTGGGGCCTGGCACTGCCCCAGGGCCCTGGCTCTCCCAGGGTGCCCACACTGGGGCCTGGCACTGCCCCAGGGCCCTGGCTCTCCCAGGGTGCCCACACTGGGGCCTGGCACCACCCCAGGGCCTTGGCTCTCCCAGGGTGCCCACACTGGGGCCTGGCCCTGCCCCGGGGCCCTGGCTCTCCCAGGATGCCCACACTGGGGCCTGGCCCTGCCCCAGGGCCCTGGCTCTCCCAGGGTGCCCACACTGGGGCCTGGCACTGCCCCAGGGCCCTGGCTCTCCCAGGGTGCCCACACTGGGGCCTGGTACTGCCCCAGGGCCTTGGCTCTCCCAGGGTGCTCACACTGGGGCCTGGCCCTGCCCCGGAGCTCTGGCTCTCCCAGGATGCCCACACTGGGGCCTGGCACCACCCCAGTGCTCTGGCTCTCCCAGGATGCCCACACTGGGGCCTGGCACCACCCCAGGGCCCTGGCTCTCCCAGGGTGTCATACTGGGGCCTGGCCCTGCCCCAGGGCCCTGGCTCTCCCAGGGTGCCCACACTGGGGCCTGGCACCACCCCGGGGCCCTGGCTCTCCCAGGATGCCCACACTGGGGCCTGGCACCGCCCCAGGGCCCTGGCTCTCCCAGGGTGTCATACTGGGGCCTGGCCCTGCCCTGGGGCCCTGGCTCTCCCAGGGTGCTCACACTGGGGCCTGGCACCGCCCCAGGGCCCTGGCTCTCCCAGGGTGCCCACACTGGGGCCTGGCACCACCCCGGGGCCCTGGCTCTCCCAGGGTGCCCACACTGGGGCCTGGCCCTGCCCCAGGGCTCTGGCTCTCCCAGGATGCCCACACTGGGGCCTGGCCCTGCCCCAGGGCCCTGGCTCTCCCAGGGTGCCCACACTGGGGCCTGGCCCTGCCCCAGGGCCTTGGCTCTCCCAGGGTGTCACACTGGGGCCTGGCACTGCCCCAGGGCTCTGGCTCTCCCAGGGTGCCCACACTGGGGCCTGGCACCACCCCAGGGCTCTGGCTCTCCCAGAGTGCCCATCGTCTGCAATGCCATCTGGAGCCAGGCCCAGTAGCGTAGGTCCGCCGTGTACCCGAGCTTGATTCTGGGTCAGCTTCTGGAACTGCTGGAACTTGGCCATCAGGTCTGAGAAGGCCGCTGGGATCACCGTCATCTTCATCACTTTGCAGTGCCCTGTGCAGACACAGGGCTGAGTGCCAAGCTGCCGGTGTGCGGCTCCGTCAGCCCTGAGCCCGCCACGTGCGCTGCAGGATGGGCGGACAGCAGGCCAGAGCCTCCTGCTGGACCCCTGGGTTTCCTCACCCCCGGCTGGGTGTGTGCTCGGCTTCCCTGGGGAGGCCATGTCCACCCCACGTGCTCAGCGGGAAGTCGGGCCTCAGCCCCAGCTCACCGCCTACTTGCTGCAGTTTGCCCTTGACTGTGGACATGGACCTGGGCTTCTCGTAGGCGGCCGCGTAGAGTCGGGACCTGTGGGCCAAGACAGTTGGGAGCCAGGCCCAGCAGGGCCGGAGAGCCAAGCTGCGGCCTCAGCCCGCGGTGCTGCCCTCCAGGGTCTCTTCCCAGCAGGGCCGGTCGAGATGAGGCCCTCGCCTCCACCCCAGGCCCAGACCAGAGCTGTCCACCCCATGCCCTCTCGGCTCCATCTCGGAGGTGGCCTCGGGTTCCAGGACACGACCTCGGAGCGCGGGAGCCCCTCCCCAGACCCCAGCCTGGCCTCTGTCTCAGGCCCGGGCCTGGCTGGCAGGGCCCATTCAGGACACTTCACAGCTGGCCAGGGCCCCCAGGGCGGGGGCTTCTCCTGGGGCAGGGCCCACCCCAGGTCCTTACATGTCTGGAGAGTGATGCAGGAAGACAGCCTGGACTGAGGGCGGAATCTCGCTGAGGAAGTTGAAGTGCTGCTCAGTGACGCAGAGGTTCTGATAGGCCTGAGTGACAAACAGGGCGAGGGAGAGGCCATCGAAGGGGCTCCAGGGTCCTGCCTGTGCTGGGAGCCACCACAAGGCGGAGACAGGCACCGTGGGAAGAGTCCCCACGTCACAGGCAGATGCGCACACGCGCACACGCATGCAGACGCGGCCGTGCCCTCGCTGCCCGCAGGCCGGCACCTGCCCAGGCTCTCACGCCTCCACTCGAGCCTCTAGCACACTGTCTAATCTTGCCAGTGCGCGTCTGCAGCACCACAGCCACGAATGCCTCATCTGTGGGCAGAACCAGCCCTCCCCCATGCACAGCTCTTCTCCTGCCTGCAATCAGCGTCTCCCCGATGGCTCGTGGGCCACAGCTTCTCCGTTCTGTTCAGCTTCTCCCCTGGATGGCTCGTGGGCCATGGCTTCTCTGTTCTGTTCAGCTTCTCTCCAGGAAGGCTCGTGGGCCATGGCTTCTCCGTTCCATTCAGCTTCTCTCCAGGAAGGCTCGTGGGCCATGGCTTCTCCGTTCTGTTCAGCTTCTCCCATCGATGGCTCGTGGGCCATGGCTTCTACGTTCTGTTCAGCTTCTCTCCAGGATGGCTCGTGGGCCATGGCTTCTCTGTTCCATTCAGCTTCTCTCCAGGAAGGCTCGTGGGCCATGGCTTCTCTGTTCTGTTCAGCTTCTCTCCAGGAAGGCTCGTGGGCCATGGCTTCTCCGTTCTGTTCAGCTTCTCTCCAGGAAGGCTCATGGGCCATGGCTTCTCCGTTCTGTTCAGCTTCTCTCCAGGAAGGCTCATGGGCCATGGCTTCTCTGTTCTGTTCAGCTTCTCTCCAGGAAGGCTCGTGGGCCATGGCTTCTACGTTCTGTTCAGCTTCTCCCATCGATGGCTCGTGGGCCATGGCTTCTCTGTTCCGTTCAGCTTCTCCCATCGATGGCTCGTGGGCCATGGCTTCTCCGTTCTGCTCAGCTTCTCTCCAGGATGGCTCGTGGGCCATGGCTTCTCTGTTCTGCTCAGCTTCTCTCCAGGATGGCTCGTGGGCCATGGTTTCTCCGTTCTGTTCAGCTTCTCTCCAGGAAGGCTCATGGGCCACAGCTTCTCCGTTCTGCTCAGCTTCTCTCCAGGATGGCTCGTGGGCCATGGCTTCTCTGTTCTGCTCAGCTTCTCTCCAGGATGGCTCGTGGGCCATGGCTTCTCCGTTCTGCTCAGCTTCTCTCCAGGATGGCTCGTGGGCCATGGCTTCTCTGTTCTGCTCAGCTTCTCTCCAGGATGGCTCGTGGGCCATGGCTTCTCTGTTCCATTCAGCTTCTCTCCAGGATGGCTCATGGGCCATGGCTTCTCTGTTCTGTTCAGCTTCTCTCCAGGATGGCTCGTGGGCCATGGCTTCTCTGTTTTGCTCAGCTTCTCCCATCGATGGCTCGTGGGACACAGCTTCTCCGTTCTGCTCAGCTTCTCTCCAGGAAGGCTCGTGGGCCATGGCTTCTCTGTTCCATTCAGCTTCTCCCCTGGATGGCTCGTGGGCCATGGCTTCTCCGTTCTGCTCAGCTTCTCTCCAGGAAGGCTCGTGGGCCATGGCTTCTCTGTTTTGCTCAGCTTCTCCCATCGATGGCTCGTGGGCCATGGCTTCTCCGTTCTGTTCAGCTTCTCTCCAGGATGGCTCGTGGGCTACGGCTTCTCTGATCTGTTCATGTTTTTGTATCTCACAGTCACATTGCTGTGTGTTAACATCTTGCTGGATCACCATCCTTCCTGCTCATCCTCCATGACTCTTGGTTCACCTTTTTCTTTCTTTTATAAGTATCAGCCCTTTGAAAGCAACCCACAGATACATTTTTCCCTTTGTTGACCTGGAGTGACTAGTCTTGTACTCTTCCTCTTTTGGGACTGTCTGTTTTATATTTTCCCCTCTCTTCATTGTCTTTTGGGTACAATACTACTGTAAAATGTTTCCTTTTTGTTAACGTAGTTACACATTAGTTTGGTTGGTACTTGTAGGACCTGGGGGGTAGGGACTCCTGGACCTCCGAGTTCCACCATTTCTCTGGTGGTGACGGGCACAGGGTATCGGCTGTCCCTCACCCCCCCTACACTGTTCTGTCTCCCACTGTGGCCCTGTGATGCCATCGGAAGCTCACAGGACTTCATGGTTCAGACCACAGCACTGTCTTTTTGGTCAGTTGTGGGGCTTCAGCTCAGGCCTGGGCGCTGTCCTTGCGCCTCCTTGTGTTCACGGTGGCTCTGGCGCTTGAGCCACAGTGCCACCTCCAGCACCATGGTGCTTGTGCGTCAGCTCTGGTCAAGGCTCGGCCTCTCCTGACGGTTTATGTAACTGCCTGAAAGGATTGGCCAGAAGCATCCTTTTGGTTTTTCTTTTATTATTGGTCACAGATTGCCTTGGGATTTTGTTTGCCTAGAAATGTCTTCATGCACCTGCCTTGTGAACAGTATTTCACTGTTCAGTATTTCACTGGAGGCTCTTTTCCTTTGGCCTGGTAATGTGCTGTTTTCTTCAGATGCTAGGAGTTTGTCACTTTGTGCTCAGAGGGTGATTTTCTTGATGTTTCTGCGAGTGTGTGTGTGTGTGTGTATGTGTGTGTGTATGATTTCACATGCATGATTTCACATGGTAAATCCCAAGCCTGTAGGTCTTATGAGCACAGGAAGGTTCTTCCTAGCGTTGCTTGAAGACTCTGGCCTTTGGCTAGGCTAGGCCCTTGCCCTCCTTGGCTCCTGTGTCTTCTCCCACGGGGTCTTTTCTAGGTCTGTGCTGGTCTTGGGTCTTGGTGTGGACTGCGATCACTTTCCCGCTCTTCACTTCTGAAGCTCCAGGCCCGTGTGTCTGGGGCTCTCACCCCACAGGTCTGTTCCCCAGCCCCGGCAGGGTCCCCAGCCAGAGTTCCATGGCTGCTCCTCCCTGTGGCCTCTCCCTAGAGCACACGTGTAGGTCTCGGCTGTCCTGAGTGGGCCAGTGGCTCCCCGCTGGCATCATCTGAACCTCACTAGCTCTGGCTGCGGCTGCAGCTGGTGCCACGTGCCTGGCGTGGTTTGGATCACGGCACCAGCTTCCCTGTGTCTGTGCGCAGGGGCGGGCAGCCATGTGCTCTGCGCTGGGCCGCCTCTGCTGAGCACTCCCACACCGCTGTCTGGGGCTCAGCACGAGCGTTCACTGCCAAGCTCAGCGCGGGCCCGTCTGCACCCATGTTCTGTGAACTCGTCCTCTGTGCCCTTCGCCGGGGAAGCCATTGACACTCCCACCTGACAGAACAGAGCGCACAAGCCTCCTCCCTAGAGTCCACCCTGCAGGCTGAACCTCTCAGCCCCACAGAGGCCCACTTTCTGTCTTGGGGTGGAGACTGGGAATCCACTGGTGATGTCTAGGGCAGTTTTGGTTGTCAAAAGGCCAACATCCCCAGCTGCATGCCAGCCACACAGAACTGGCCCCGGTGCGGGCAAAAGCAAGCATTCAGGAACAAAGGCTGAAGAGTGGCTGGGGGCCACCAACAGGAGGACAGGGGACAGTAGAGAGGAGGTCATCCTCAGGAGGACAGGGGACAGTACAGAGGTCATCCTCAGGAGGACAGGGGACAGTAGAGAGGAGGTCATCCTCAGGAGGACAGAGGACAGTACAGAGGTCATCCTCAGGAGGACAGAGGACAGTACAGAGGAGGTCATCCTCAGGAGGATGGGGACAGTACAGAGGTCATCCTCAGGAGGATGGGGACAGTACAGAGGTGGTCATCCTCAGGAGGATGGGAAGGAGCACAGTCCAGGCAGCGCCATGTAGGGATCTGGAGCCCCCTGGGAGGCCTGAGGGGGGTGTCTGGGGCCCCTGGGTGGGACCATGGGGTCTGGAGGCCTCTGGGAGCAGGTCTGGAGCCCCCTCCCCAGTCACCTTGAAGGTGGTGGTCAGCTTCTGCTCCATGCTGGCAAACAGGCTGGTGGAAGTCTTGTACTGCTGCTTCAGCTGCCTCTGGAGCTGCAGCAAAGCTGCCAGCTGTGAGCTGCTGGTGTTGGCCGTGGCCTTGAGCAGCACCTCCCGCATCATCTCCGAGGCTGAGCAACTCTGACACAGAGCGGGGCGGTGGTCATGTACGTGCAGTGTGACCCCTGTGGGCCCGGGGGAGGGGTGGGCAGAAGCTGGGCAGGCACATGGTTGTGATTCCTGGGCTAGACCTCTGACTACACTGGCCTTTGGCCACACAGGGGGTCCTGAGGACGTGCCACTGGGGGACCCGCAGGGCCGGGGAGAGGGGACAGAGTGCCTTGGGGTTGCGAAGGCCCTGTCTTCTTTAACCGGGTGCACCCCACAGCCAAGACCCCAACCGCAGGCTGGCCAGTGGGCGCCGTGGCCACGCCCGGTGCCCGGGCAGGGCCGTACCTGGGACAGAGCTAGAAACTGGCAGGTGGTGGCGGGGTCCAGGGTGCCGGTGCACTCCACCATCTCCAGGCTGGCGGCGGCCGCGATCTTTGTGAGCTTGTTGCCCAGGGCGGTGTGCAGGCACTGCAGCAGCACTTCCGAGGCCTGGGCCAGGTACCGCTGGGCCATCACCATCCTCTTCTGCGGGCCAGAGAGGCTCAGCCTCCGGCTCCCCGGCGGAGACCGCCGATGGACCGGGGGGGGGGGGCCTCCGGCACACCCACCTTCAGACTCTCAGCCTTCTTGCTGTGCTTCTTGGGGGCGTCCTTGAAGGCTGGCGGCTGCGGGAAGGGCTCTGGGCTCTTTATTTCGGCCTCCATCTCCAGGGATCGCAGCCGGCTCACCTTGGCCCCCATCTAGGGCACACACAGGGCCGGGCAGCTTCTGGACTCCTCCCAGCCAGGGGCCAGGGTGGGCCCCATCTATCACGGCCCTCCGCGCCTGCTCTGCCCAAGACGGGCTTTGTGGATGTGGAAGGGCCACGGCTTGAGCGGCACCGATGACCATGCGTGGCGGCCAGGGTGTGGGTAAACCGAGGGAGCAGACCAGCACTACAGGCCCAGTCACTACCATGGCTCCTCCTGTCCCATCCTCCACCCCCGAATCTCCCACTGTCCGTCCTCCACTCCAGTCCTCCACCCCTGAGGCTCCTACTGTCCGTCCTCCACTCCAGTCCTCCACCCCTGAGGCTCCTACTGTCCGTCCTCCACTCCAGTCCTCCACCCCTGAGGCTCCCACTGTCCGTCCTCCACTCCAGTCCTCCACCCTCGAGGCTCCCACTGTCCGTCCTCCACTCCAGTCCTCCACCCTCGAGGCTCCCACTGTCCGTCCTCCACTCCAGTCCTCCACCCCCGAATTTCCCACTGCCCGTCCTCCACTTCAGTCCTCCACCCCTGAGGCTCCCACTGCCCGTCCTCCACTCCAGTCCTCCACCCCCGAATCTCCCACTGCCCAGTCCTCCACTCCAGTCCTCTACCCCTGAGGCTCCCACTGTCCAGTTCTTTAGAAACGCCCTCCCTGCCTGTCAGTGTGGTCAGTATGAAGCAGTCAGGTGTCCATGTCCTCTCACAGAGTGGCCAGGAGACAGACACTGAGTGAGGGAAGGGAATACAGGCAGGCAAGGGAGCAGGCCCTGAAGATTAGGTGGAGGCAGAGAGGTGGAGAGGGCCTGGGTTTGTGGGATCAGAAGATGTTGCTTTGGTAAGAAGCTGAATGCACTCTCAGTTGCTGGCAGACTAAGTGGGTAAGAAGCCATCCTAGGCACAGAGGCCTGGCAGCCCTGACCCAGAAGACAATGCCCCTGTGCTGGCCACACTGCCCCCCACCCGCAGTGCTGGCCAAGCTGCAGGGAGCCCCCACCAAAACCCAGGCTGGGTCCACACCCAGCCTCTACAAAGCCCAGAGACACTGAGCTTGTTTTAAAGCACAGTGGACTCATCTTAGAGGCTGCAAACACCAAACCTGCCTTGAAATTAAACACTGTCCTTAGAGTCACGAAGTTGGTCAAGGAATCTGAAAAAATCTCAAGCCGTGGAATCTGAAGGCACCTCAAACTGACATGGAGAATAATACTACACACCAAAATGATGGGACTTTGTCGAAACAGGGCTTAGAGGAAAGATCCTGACTGTGAGAATGGAAAGGCTGGAAGGCTTTAGTTTTAGAAGCCCTGAGGCAGCAGGCAGCCACATCTAAGAGAAAAGAAGGGAGCTGGGGCGGGGGAGAGGGGACCCGGCCGGTGCCGCGTTTCTGGAGCCTCCTGGGCCCATGTAGGGCCTGCACGCTTGGGCCAGGGCCGTGTGCCACCCGCAGCATCCACCAAGAGCACACCAGGCTCCGTGTGGCAGCCAGACAGGTTCTCACGGACGTGGAGAGCTCCGTCCGTTCACCCAGCAAAAGCCCCATCCTGCCCAGAGGCTGGCCTGGCTGGGAGCCCGCTGGATGCAGGGCTGGCTGGGACACAGGCCAGCGAGGCCGGCCTGGAGGGGTTTGTCTGTTGGGCAGGTGCTGGGGCGTCCAGGGCGTGCAGGACTCTGATGGGCAGGGAGCGAGGGCCTTCGAGAGGCTCCTGTGTGCTCTGACTGGCCGGCAACTGGGAGTGGAGACTGCTTTCTGGCTCCCTGGCCGTGGGGGTGGGGTGGCCTAGAGGTGGGCCAGTGTGGGGGGCTTGCCCAGGGAGCCCGTGTTCCTCAGGCACAGACGTAGCAGAACGCACCCTGAGTCAGGAGCCAGGCACCTACCAAGAGGCCTTCCTCCCAGCAGAAGGAGGAGCGCACGGGGTCTGTCTGCACCGCCACCAGGCGCAGGGCTCTCCCGACCAGGCCCAGGAACTTGGCTCGGATTTCCACGCAGCCCACGCACAGTGGCTGCATGCTCTCTAGCTGCACCAGCGACATGTGCACCAGGGTCCGCTTCAGGGTGAACCATTGCTTCCAAGATAAGGAGGCCTGGTCACCATGGTGCTTGGGAACCTGCCCAGCCCAGAAGCCCACAGGCCTCCCCCCCCGCAGCCCTGCCCAGCCCAGAAGCCCACAGGCCATCCCCCAACCCCACCATGGAAGCCCCCCCCCGCCCACAGGCTCCCCCCTCCAGTGCTGCACTGTGGAACTTCAGGCTCTCTGAGCAGCTTCCCGTGCCATGCAGCCCTGTGGACTGTTGGGTCTTCAGGGCTTGGGCATCAAAAGGGCCACAAAAGTTCTCCTGTTATACGAGTTATAAGCCCAATTTCAGGGCTATTTCTGATCCTAAATATTTAATACTATAATACGTTCAATATATAGTATATTCATTTCAAATTAAATTGATTCATTCTTCATAACATCTAAAAAAAGGTAAATTGTTTCTTTCCAAGTTGGGTATTTCCACATGCCCCGCTTTCTTTCTGGAACCAGAGCCTTCTGTAGCCTAGGCGAGCACCATTAGCGTATGTTTTGTTTTTAACCTAGTGTCACGGGACTTAGTGAGCCCTTCGGTGTGCTAGGAATGCTAAACGCAAAGCCCAGGGCACTGGCACGGGTGGCCGGGGCTGGGCTGGGGCTGTGTGCGGTCACCAGGCCGATGGGAGAGTCGTCTCTGCTCTCCATGAAGTCCTCCAGCAGCTTCTCCACGGAGCCGCGCTCCTGGTGCCGCTCCAGCTTCTCCCGCCACATGAACTGCATGAGGTCCAGGCAGGCCTTCCCCAGGCGGAGCTTGAGGCGCGCCAGCCTCCGCATCAGCGGGGAGTTCACGTTCTGTAACTGGAGGGGCGGGGCGGCCCGCGCACCCCGCCGGGGGGGGGCCACGGGCCCATGCTGCAGTCAGCCCTCCATCCCCTACACCGCGCACCCCGCCGGGGGGCCACGGGCCCATGCTGCAGTCAGCCCTCCATCCCCTACACCGCG